GTGTGTGTGTGTGTGTGTGTGTGTGTGTGTGTGTGTGTGTGTGTGTGTGTGCCTGTGTCTGTGTGTGCCTGTGTGTACATGTTTCTGACTACCTGAGCAAAAGGTCCAGCTTTCACAGGTTGAGCTCATTACAAGCCTGACTAGAGAAGCTGAAAACAAAGCTTGACTTTTTTTCCAGTAATGGCAGAAATGTGATTAAGCAGAGGCACTCACCTCCTGATGCAGGAGCTGTTCAGCTTGGGCTCTGCTTAGGTTCCTGCAGTACCACCTGTCAGCAGCAGGAGAGGCTCGGGGTCAGAATGATGTCACTCACACTGACTGCAGTTTGCACATGCTAGTCATACTCACTCATGTGCCTCTATCCTGTCCTTCTCTGCAACGTAATTGCTTGGAATGAAACCTTTATTCCTAAAAAAAAAAGCATAGTGAACCACATAAGCAGGTAGAAGCAGCTTATGAGAGGTTTAGTGTGATGTAATGCCCCCCAAAATGGCCCTCTCTCACGCCCCCCCGGTTCTCACATACCCCTGCTTATCCTCCGCTTTCCACCAGAGCTGGTCCTGCTTATGGAGGATCTTGTACTCCTCCCCTTGCCGCAGCGTCAGGTCAGAGTCCTCAGTGGCTGTGAAGTCATAGAGGGCGACTACTTGCAGCTGGCTACTCTCGCCGTCCAGGGGTGGGGGCGGGGGGGGCCTCCGCCTCGATCTGTCAGACTGACACATTTAAGCAACGGTTGCCCTTTTAAGTTGCAGAGATATATCCTTTGTTTTTGAAAGCATTAAATGATGAATCTTCACTTTATGACCCACTTTTGAAGGCTTGGCCTGAACTCACGTCCTTACGAGACACTTCGGGGTACATAAAGTACCTCGAACCGGCTGGGCAAAGTGACGATCACGAGCGCGGGGGACTTCCCAGTGGGCCTGTGACGTTTCCGTGCCAGTCGGGCGGCCGTGCACACTAGGGCTGGGTGATATCATGATAAACGATAATACTGAGTCGTCCAACATCCCCCCAACACGCTTAGAGACTGTAATTATATCTTTGTGGGGACTCTCCATTCATTTCTATGGGGAAAACTCTAGTACCAACATAACGACCTTAACCCCTACCCAGCCTTAACCTTACCCATAAGTAACCAAACAAAATACAAGACTTTTGGCATTTTTAGTTTTTTGATTGCATTCACAGATTTTTGGGGGGGACCAGGAAAATGGTCCCCACAATGTGAAAATAACAGGTTTTTATTACATTGTGGGGAACATTTGGTCCCCACAATATAATATAAACATAATCCACACACACACACTTGCACGCGGCAATTATTTTTTGTCAAAAGAAAAACTTGAAAGCATGAAAAAATTATATACGGATAGTTCTCGAAACTTGTTCATGGGGAGTCTGTTTAGCGGGGCTGACCATGATTTTTTTGTCTCTGTGGAACAACATTGATCGCAGACCAGATTAAATCATGATTTAAAAACTTGTTGCGGCCGTCCAGAAGCATCTAAAGGAGCACAAACTTTTGACACCATGTACCACCTCAGAAAGCATTTCACTGTGTACCAGAGGTGAAGAAGTTGTCAATGAGTTTTTTTTGTTTATTCTTTAATCTGTGTTGGAAATGTAAGCTACAAGGCAAAACCCAACGCCACATCATAAATTGCCTTTGGTTGCCTTGCTTTGTATGTAGCCAAGGCCTGCTTCCCTGACAAAGGCGATGATCGGTCAGTCATTGTCGGACACCAACCTCTGGTTACTTGTCTGTTATTTTCAATCGCCTATAATATCCTCCATTCGCACAAGCCTAGTGCATACCCTAACCCTAGTGCATACCCTAACCCTAACCCTTTCAAATTCCCATAAATAAATGTGCATGCAACAAGACGACAAGTGGCCCCACCCAGATTGGGAGACCTCTCTGGTGGGAAAGGAGCCTGAGTTGGTGTGGGAGGTAGAAAGAAACAGACTAGATATAGTCTGGCTCACCTCAACGCATGGCTCGGGCTTTGGAATTAAACTCCTAGAGAGGAGCTAGACTATCTTCCACTCAGGAGTTGCCTATGGTGAGAGGCACCGGGCATGGGATGGATCTGCTTATAGCCCCCCCGTTTGGTGCCAATATATTGGGTCGCCTCCCTTCAACTTCGAGTCGGGGATGGGCTCTGGCTGTAGTCTGTGCTCGGGGGGGAGGGGGGAGCGGGTACTGTATGGTGCCCTTCCTGGGGACCTCATTGTTCTGCTGGGGGACTTTAATGCTCACGTAGGTAATGACAGTGAAAACTGGAAGGGTGTGATTGGGAGGAATGACCTGCTCCATCTGAACCCAAGCAGTGCTCTGTTATTAGACTTCTGTGCTAATCTTAGTTTGTCCATAACGGATACCATGATTGAGCACAAGGATGTTTGTAAGTATACCTAGAAACAGTACTAGGCCAGTAACCAGTATAGTAATAGATCCATGATTGATTTTGTAGTCCTATCATCAGGTCTCTGAGTGTATGTCTTGGGCACTCAGGTGAAGAGAGGAGATGATCACCACTTGGCGGTGAATTGGATCCCATGGGTGGGGGAAGATGCTGGATACACCTAGTAGACCCAAACGTATAGTCAGGCTGTGCTGGAAGCGTCTGGCGAAGGCCACTTCCATCAGATCTTTAACACGCTCCTCCGGCAGAACTTCTCGTTGCATCCTGAGGGAGGCTGGAGGTATTGGGCCTGAATGGATCATGATCCATGCCTCCATTGCCGTGGCGGCTGTGCGGCTATAAGGATGCTGGTGCAGCAGCAGCCCCTGATCCCAATGGTGGGCACCCGCGGTAAAGGGAAGCCATCAGGCCTCTGGGCTTAGCAAGCTTGCGGGACCATGGAGGCAGCTGACAGGTATGGGCAGGCCAGGTAGAGTGCAGCACTGGCGGTTGTGGAAGTAAAATCTTGGGTGTGGAAGGAGTTCAGTGAGGCCATGGAAAATGATCTTTGGCTGGTCTCAAAGAGATTCTGACAAATCGTCAGGCAACTCAGTAGGGGAAGCAAACTCTCCCCATCGTGTTTACAGCGAGGGTAGAGTGCTATTAGCCTCAACTGGGGATATAGTCAAACAGTCAAGTTGAGGGCCTCCTGAATCCCATTCTCATGGCTTACTTGGAGGATGTAAAGTTGAAGGATAGGAGCAGGACTCACCCATCACTAGAGTTAAAAGCCCTCAGTGGTAAGGCGCCGTGGATGGATGAGTTCCTGAAGGCTGTGGATATTGTTGGGATGTCTTGACTGACATACCTAAGGATACCGGAGGGCTCAAGGGTGTGTCCACTTCAATTCATGCGGAGGATGCATGAATGAAATGCAAATGTAGGTAGTATATCAATGAAAAGACAGTATAATATGTAATATGTTGCCAACGTTTTGCTAAAATGAAATGAAATGAAAAATCTAATTTGGCAATTCCATTCTGTGCTGTAGCATCATTCTTTAAATCAGAAAAGTTTAGAGTGAGGTGGAAACCGTCTGAGCCACACACTGTCTAGGTAATATAGGAGAACTTTGTGTGTTCTTGTGTGATAGTCTTAAACATGAGCCATGCCAGATGCGAGAATGTTGGCAACCCAAGTACTGTAGGCCTATTAACAAGAACATTTTAAAAATTAGACTGAAAATTACAGTAATCAACTATACTTTCCACCCTTTCTGTCTCTCACTAACAGCTAAAACTAATTAATTCAGAGCTTTGACCGTATGAAAACTTTATTTCCTGTGGTGGGGGAGCTGCAATTTGACGCCCCCTCCTATAAACCACAGTGGTTTTACAGAAGTTTACATATTACAGAAAGAACATCTTTATATCATTTCATATGTCAGTATAACAGCCTTATGACTACATACAGGGTTCATTACGAACTAAGCAGTGTTTGGTATAATTTGCCCATTTCCACCTTAACCGTAAACCCTAGCGCTGGGCCAAAGGACGATGTCATCGTACTTCGCCGATGGCTGACAGCATCGCTATGCCCCCTCCCCACCACTGCCGCAGTACCCACCAATGCCAGTGTCGGAATTTGTATGGCGACTCTGAGGATTAATGCTTACCTACAGAGCAAACTCTCCCATTCCTTTCTATATCTGTCATAAACAAATCGTTTCTAATCATTTTATTGCTATTGACGCTTTTTCGCCATTTCCGCACATTTAACTGAGAATATTGTCAATGGATTATTAATATTGTATCTAGTACTGACTAGAGGAGACTCTTGCTGATTTGTCGTCGCATCCTGCCTGTTACAATCCTAGTTTTCCCACACTGCAATTGAACGGGGCTAGTTTAGGCTAAGTACCTGGCCGGACTTCAGCCACTTCAAATAATTACATTTTCTGATTAGTTAATAAGTCACATAAAAGACAAAGAAGATGTTAGTATAAACCAAAATAAAAGAATGAAGTTGTTCCCAATCACACATTATTTAGAGAAAAAGTATGACACACTTTATAGTATAAAACTACATTCAAAAAAGTTGAGCACAGTTTCTGTGCTAAAAATACAGAATGAAGTGGTCATTTCTAGCCACCAACTCTGTCATTACATCGCCACTTTTACCAGTTGGGCCAAAGTAATGCTCAGAGGGGTGGGGGGAGGATAGCCAGTAAATTGGCTCAAATGTGCAAAAAAAAAAGAAATAGTAATAAATTAATGTATAAAACATTGCAGTTGTAGTACCCTTAAAAGACCCCCCACGTCACCGGCCATCTCGGTGTTTCACTGTAGACATCGTCATATCTCTAACCCAAGCAAACACAGACTAATGTGCGCCTTCAAAGTTCCACTTTCGCTAATGTCTTTCTTGCATTCTCCTGATACTGAAGCAAGACTTTTCAGCTTCCATGCATGTGACCCCGGACTGGGCCTCCAGGCTGCCTGGGGATGTGTGATCTGACGGGGACACTTACCGTGCAGACTCGCCTGGAGCAGGAGGACGTGAGCTCCCCGTCGCTCCTCTCCGCCTTTGCCCGGGTGCCCTTCTCTCTGCTCCAGGAGATCAGCATTGGTGACTGCATGACCCAAGAAGGGCAATTTACCCAAGGAAATGTGTCCTTGTAAAGGTGACGTTACCCTTTATACCTGGTACAGCAGCAGCAGCAGAAGATCGACTGTACGGCCTGATCTGGAAGGAGATGCAGAAGCGCAGGGGTCACCTGACGCACATGATTTTAAAAGCTGCTAAAACACCAATATGATGGCTCTGTTTGGGGAGCACTGACGCAAATACATCTGCAGAACAAGGGTCATACGCACGTGTGTCTGCTGTATGATATATTGTATGTTTGACAAGGTGGGACGTGAAATGTTTTTTTTTTTTCCCCCCTGTGAGAACTATGTGAGAACTTTTGACGCTGTGCAACCAAATGNCATATTGTATGTTTGACAAGGTGGGACGTGAAATGTTTTTTTTTTTTCCCCCCTGTGAGAACTATGTGAGAACTTTTGACGCTGTGCAACCAAATGCATGTTTATGTTCAAGAAACCAATATATGAGCTCACATTTGGTCAAAACGGACATTCCGTTTGACATTTAAAACATCTTTTGCACTTTAAAAATCAAAGGCTTCACAGATTATCACAGATTAGTTAATTTGGTGCTTATTGTAGCATGAGAGCAAAGCTATGTATCTATGTTTGCTTGTTTGTTGGTGCCGCAGAACAATCCAAACAGCGCATTACTTCACAAAAAGCGCAGTGGAGCTCAGGCTGAGCTCCTCTGATCTCACAGCACCAACAGTTTCTGCCGCAAGCACAAAATGAAGGTTTCCTGGAAGACCCTCAGAAAAAAGGTTAGATGAAAGCAGACCCCCTCAGCTTAGCCAGACTCAGAAAGAACAGACAAGACCATCCCTGCAAACGGTGCCCACAGGCTGCTTCCATGAGTGCGGCACTGTAAAGATGGTCTGCGCTGCTGGCTGGTCGTCATTTTTCTAGGCAGTTTGGTGTCACAGGTGCATGAAAAACACAGAGCCAATGAATTACATCATAGCCTAAATGCGTGGAGGAACCACACCTGCTCATTTGACCAGATGCGTACAGCATCCGTGTGTGCATCCTATTTATAAAATACGAAGGCCGTGGTACATGATGGCCTGACGAACAAAATGTCGCTTTCGGTGTTTTTTGGTAGAAAAGAACTAAAAAATGAGAAGTGTATAAAAATGGAAACAAGCGAAGTCCGGTGAGACCCACTGTTCCTCAGCCCCGGTGGCTTCCTGGTGGCAGACTGACTTGTCTGTTGTTCGATCCAGAGTTTTGCGTCCCCTTTTGTTTACGTCTGTCTGCATTTACGGCCTGCACTCGATTACTTACTGGACAGGATCATGGTATCCTCTGGGTCCCGTCGCCGTGCCCACAGCTTCTGCTCCGGCGATGAACAGTTTCAGCTCGTGAGTAAGTTTGTGGTCATGAGCTGTGAGTGTACGTTTCAGGGCGAGGAGGAGAGGAGATGACGTCGGCCAAAACCTCAACTCGTTAACATCTGAGTTAGACGATTTCCAAGGAGGGCAGGAAATGTGGTGCAGTGGGTGTAGGAGATGCTGAACACCTGACACATGTTTTAAGCAGCATGTACTACATGCAATATCACATGTTCACAGAGACCAGGGCAAACTCAGTCTTTTCATTGTTGTTACAGTCGGTTCTGATACCGGCAGTCTGTGAATCCCTCCACAACTAAATCACTGTTTATATGTTACTGCACATAACACAGGTATGATTTTCATTCAACCCCTACTGGCGTGTGTATACAGCTAAGTGGTGACGTGAGCTCTGGCCGACTGTCTTACAACTGGCCATTGTGAATTATTTGCATATCAATTTGCAAACAGCAGCCTGCCTCTTCCTCACTTCAAACAGTGAATTGACACTCAGAGATGTCAGATTGTCAGACATGTTCCAGGGATAGACCCATCATCGCTGGAATCAGCCTCGAGTGTCACACTCCAGACGTTCTCATTTTATAATGTAACTCATTATTCATTAAGTCATTATACGCTTTTAGATATAACTCATATAACTTATATAAAAGGTATGGTGCTTTGCGACATTTTAAAATTCAATTTTACTTTTATTTAAGGCAGGTTAAAAACAAACAAACAAAACCTAGTTGCACACACTAAGGACAACCAAAAAACAAAACAACACAAAAAAAAACCAATATCCAATTCTGAAACACCTACCACCAGAAAGAGGTAGGGGTGGGGCCACACAAGAGTTTTACACAATTTCTCTTGTCATGGCATTTCTTTCGCTTTCAGCCGGCATCAGCCGACACTTCGCCCACTTCACCCAAATTCCGCCTTATTTGATCCGGTCAGCAGCCGCCTTCCTGTTCCCAGAAGCGGGATCCACGTTTATTTACAGCGGCGCTAATTCACAGCGAATTTAAACTGTGGACACGCAGGGCAGTTTTTCTACATCATTCGTCTCTGATAAGCTCATTTATGGGGGTATTCAAATGTATTACAATATATACAAATACACTCGTAATCGCTACGACACCGAAAGCGAAATGCAGTCAGTGCTGGGGGTAAATTACGTCGGAACTTATTGCTTAAAAAGCACAGAATGAGCATAACGCGCCGCGGCCACGTGAGTGATAATGTCCTCCTCTCATTCGCCGAAATAAAATGCCGAAAAAAAGTTTCCGAAAAGGAAATTGCCCATTTATATATAACTTAAGCGTTATTTTTTCATTCAGAGTAAGTAAAAATTACAGTTTTTCGTTTCTCTGAAAATGCATTATCAAGGTCTCGAAAGATGCGTGATGCCAGCAATAACGGTGTAAATAAAACAAGTAAAATAAGTTAAATTATATTATTATACTGAAACCCCAAAATAGAGCGTATTTACGGCTCCGCTAGAGGGCAAATCGCGTCCGCCAGAAGCATGTAGAAGGATCTTGCTTTATATCAGTGCCTCACAAAGTAATGCGTGTTTTAAGTGAAAGTTGTCTCTTTTAATGCTGTATTTTTTTTACCGAGGTGATCTTGCGCTAGTGCAATATTAGTGCAGTAATTAATAAATCTAACCAATCACGCAAGTTTATGCACGCTTGACAGCACCGCTTTTTTCATGCATATTTGACAGTCAAATTTTCTATGGTTAAAGGAAATGCCAGCGATATCACACTGAAGTCCAACTTCCCCCAGCTATTATTTTTGCGTGGCACTTGGTGGGTTTGTGACAGATTGGTGTGTTTGTGACTGATTGTGACAGCAGCGGTTCTGCTTCAACTTTTTTTAAAAGAAAGGTAAGAGTTACTAACGTTAATCACTTTCTGTTTCTAGACCTATTGTAATTGCAGTTTAACCAGCTGATCAATCATTGCCAGTGTGGTAAAACATTAAACAGAAGGAGTCGCAGGACAATAGTGGCAGTTGTTTATTTAAAAGAGTGTTAGAGTCTGAATGGTTAGTTGAAAGTCCACTTGTTTAAAAGACGCATGCTGTCAGCATGCAATGGTACCGGAACCGCAAACTCAGGACTAATTCCAGCGCCTGGTACGTTATTCAAGCGCTTCTTGCTGATGCACTTGATTTTCTTATTTTATGTCCATCAGCAGTAGTGAAGCAAATATTTTACAAGTGGCGGACAATATTTTAGGAAGTGTGACAGTAGTGCCGATATGGTGACTGACCTTCGTGACACGCATTTGACCCCTTACTTCAAGGTATAGATTATTACCTATACAGACATAAGAAGGCATAACTGCGATTAATTACAATATTACGATGTCAGTTTTTATCAGACAAATCTTTAACAAATGCAGTCTTTTTTTCTAAATACGTGGGATCACAGCATGAAAATAGCAGGTTTGTAATTTACCATTTCGCTGGAAATGGCTTAATGGTTTGCTCACTTGATTTCCCCCAACATGTCTTTACTGATGCGGAACTGCTTGGCTTTCGTTCAGTGAAGCGGACCAGTGCCCAGTCGATGGCAGGAGAACCCACACCCCATCCGAGGCCGACATGCATCCCGACACCATCCTAGAGGATGTCCTGATCAAGCGCTCACAGCAGAAGAAGAGGACGTCGCCACTCAACTACAAGGAGAGGGTCTTCGTGCTCACCAAGAGCAAGCTGGCATATTACGAGGGCAAGCCGGAGGTGAGTCCCGCTGAAGGCCTAATAAATTCTGGAAGTTAATTAAATAATCTGCTGGAGATATAGCACCTCCCACTCTTCCTGAATCCCTAGTAATAAATCAAGGTGAAATTTGGGGTAAACAAAATATAGTAGATGCTTTTAATACACATTTCATTAATGCAGGAATTATTACTCAATCCAGTCTTCCAGTAGATTCTGGGGATAGTGCAGTTATCAATTCCAATTGTTCTGCGTTCTTTAACTTTTCTACGATTCCTGCCTCCCACGTTTGCAATGCCTTATTAAACCTGGATTGCAAAAAGGCTGCTGGTCCAGATGAGATTGAGCCTTATTTTTTAAAGATAGCAGCACATCTGATTGCTGGTCCTATTGCCTATGTTTTTAATCATAGTCTCTGTAGTTTCCAGATTGTCGGTCACTGCCAAATTATTTGAATCTTTTGTTAATGACCAACTTAAAGCATTTTTATCTGATAATAATATTTTCTGTCATACTCAGTGTGGTTTTAGACAGGACCACAGTACCATAACTGGAATAACTTCTGTTGCAAATGATATAATTACTGCTTTGGATAATAAAAAAATCATGCACTGCTCTTTTTATAGATCTAACAAAAGCATTTGATACTGTTGATCATGCTCGTCTTCTGCAAAGATCACAGAGTATAGGATTTAGTGACACTGTATTGAATTGGTTCTCCAATTACTTGACTGAGAGAACACAGTGTGTAGCTATAGATAACTATAACTGTACCTCACAAATAGTAAAAACTGGTGTGCCTCAAGGTTCTATTTTAGGACCTGTTCTATTCTCTATTTATATAAAACAATATTAGTTTAGGGTTAGAACCAGCAAAAATGCACTTATTTGCTGATGATACAATTCTTTATACCACTGCTTTGTCACTGTGAGAGACAATAGATTCATTACAGTCTGCTTTTAATTTATTACAGATGCTTCTTATCAAGTTAAAACTGGTGATAAATGCCAGGAAAACTAAATTTATGGTATTTACACATTCATGTTCTGTATAAATTAATTTTATTCTATGTATAGTTTGAGTATTTGTATGTATGTGTTTTAGTCTGTGTTCATATTAATCATCTCTGTATGTATGTATATGAAACTTTTGTCTTTTTTTTATTTACTGCCATCTTGGCCAGGACTTCCTGGAAGAAGAGATATTATATCTCAATGGAACCTTCCTGGTAAAATCAAGGATAAATAAAATAAAATAAACAGGTGGTGGGGGGGGGCACAGCTAACCGAAAGGTTAGCTTCCATAACTGCTAATCGGCTAAATCCAAAATTTAACGAGATGACGTTAAACTGATAAACCACTAAAAAATTAGTGGAAGCTGATGCTAACCGCTAAACCCTTAATGTTTATTATATGAATGTAGCTTCGGTTTGTTTTTAGCTCTGAAACCCTTAAAAACAAACATAGAAAGCTAAAATTAAAACCTGTTTAACACTGAAGTCCCATCTGTCGGAATATGCAATATGTATAGTTAATGCAATTTGTATATTTTGTAATATATTCTTTTATTACTCGTGTCTCACATTGAGTCGCCTGCACTTTCGCAATTTCATTGTCAAATGGCAATGATGATAAAGATTATGTTATTTGATCTTATTTTCAGCAGGGTTACCGTACATTTGGGTTTCCTCGGACACATCCTCTTTTTGGGCCCCTGTCCCGGCATCCGGGCAGATTTTCAAAAATAGCAGTGTTGCAAGTTGCATTGGAGTCTCAATTGAAGAAAAAGACACCAAATTTCAATGTACGGCAGCCGCTCAGTATCATTGTACTGGTTTGCAAGGCTCCTGCACAAGTTTACTAAATGTTTATTATTGGGGGCAGTGTGTGGCTCAGTGGGCTAAGCCTGCATGCCTGTAATCACAAGGTCACCAGTTCAAACCCAACCTCAGCCCGTCTGTGGGTCCTTGAGCAAAGCCCTTAATCCATGCTGCTAAGGGTGGCTGCCCTTCGTGGACAACTTACTCTACAAAGAGCAAGTTGAGGGAGCCATAAAAACAATTTCCCCTACAGGGACAATAAAGGATCTATTATTATTAAATGATCTGCACATGCCTACAAGTCACGCTGCTAACAGCTTCCGGACACCATTGGGTCTTTCACACTTTATTTTTACTTTCGTGTGGACAGTGAATCGTGGCATTTGCTTGAAGCTTAACAAACTTTAGCTTAGCGTTTTGTATCTTTTGTTGAAAAACACTTGTATGCACGCATATGGTGTCAATTGTGTGTAGATTGCAAAACAAGAGTTAACTGTAAGGTTACCATACAGTGTTTTTTTTATTTTTTTTTTTTTTTTTACCATACAGTGTTGCCAACAAAATTTCAGGGGAAGTTGTCGTCACACAATGACGTCATCACATGATAACGTGAAATTGCTCAAATGAACTAAAATCAAATAGCACATATTACAAAAGACACATACGGTTAATCTCATCACATGATCAAAATTTTTTTTCTCTTGCAGTTTTTATATGGAGAACCTCTATCCTCTGCTAAAACGGTTTATTCTTTACTCCCACTCTGACTTGCAAACATTCACTTCGATCCAGACACTCAAGTAAAGAGCTAACATAGAGAGCGGTGAGCGCAGAAGCGTGGTACAGCTTGTTCGTAATCTTAACTCATTGAAGTGAATTCATGGTGAAATTCAGTAGTCTCATATTGATTGCTTCATAAATATTGTTTTATTGTGCAAATTTAACTACAGTGATCCCCCGCTATATCACGGTTCGGCTATCGCACCCCTGCTATATTGCGGATTATTCCCCGACGCGTCACAGTTCTCTGCGTATCGCGTACCTTGCTTGTGGTCCGATTGTTTTCGTTTAGTTTTAAGCCCTACGATGGCTCCCAAGCATCCCGCATCTTCTAAGCCTTCTGGTAGTAGTGAGCCTGAGCGCCAGCGCCATTCAGGAGAAGGTAAAACTCCTGGATACGCTTCGGGAAGGAAAGCGTTACGCGGACGTCGCTCGCCATTATGGCTTGAATGCATCGACGGTACGCTACATCAAGGAGGATGAAAAGAATATATGAGCCATATATGTTTTTATTTTTATATATTTTATTACGTATACAGAGAGATGTGTTTGTGTATGTGTGTGTGTGTGACTCACCTAAAGGATTATTAGGAACACCTGTTCAATTTCTCATTAATGCAATTATCTAATCAACCAATCACATGGCAGTTGCTTCAATGCATTTAG